AAAGGGAGAGAGGTCAACCGCTGTCCAAGTCTTTGGGAGTTCACAGTTGCCAGTGTGTGTGTGTGTGGGAAACAATGTTGTGATATTAAAAGTCTCTGTTGTAGGTTGCCACTTTGCTCTCTCAAATGGCTAAGTTTGAGTGTAGAGTGGCACTTTAGTTTTGTCAGAATCAATTTGAATCTAGTAATACTTTTCAGAATGCGTAATAGCGGAAATGTCCTTCTATGAAAGGTGGCATTTCGCTTTCTGTGTTCGTTTTGTTGAGAGTGAGTCTTTAGAGGCTACTACAGATTTGGGTACACACACGCACACGCACAAAAATACGCAGATGAATGAAATGGAGACTAAAGTGGTCGCCTCGCACAAGAAGTAGCACAATTGGAGATACTTGTGAGAACCGATTAGTGGTGGTGAAAGAAGAAACGAAAGTAGGGCAACTGTTGAAGCAACGCTTCCACAATTTATCGTCGGTTGAGTTCAACTTTCACAGCTGTGTGCGGTAGAACAAAGGGAAAACACATAATTGATATTAATTGTTAAAATGGCGAGTGAAACGGAAATGCTACCAGCTGTGTGTGGCAATCAACTGACCTTCAATAATGTCGAGTTTCAGCTTCTGCAGCTCCTTTCTGATGTCGGTCATGATTTCCTGCTTCAATCTGTCCATGTCAGCCTCGCACAGGCCGTTGAATTTTGACTCGTCAGAAGGGCCGTTTTTTCTAGACGGGTAGAAAAAAGTGTTAGAGAATAATAAATCTGCTAACCTGACTTGTACCTGTGGTGACTATTGGACTCATCCTTTGAGGGACTGCACCCGTTGACCAGAGAAGTGGAGGACTGCTTCTCCGATTTGATGCCGTTAAAGTTACGAGCCCCACCGATGTTCCCACCGGCATTGCCCGAGTCGCCATCATTCTGCTGGTTGCTCTCCGCCTGGGCTCGTCGACGGGCGAGCGTCTTGGCCATCTCGTCCATGAGATTGCCCGGTGCGGCCGTCGTCGTGTTGCTCGTTCGACCCGAAGAGGAGTTTGAGCTGAGACTGTCATTGTCATCCACCTTGCCCGATGCGGTCCTCTTCAGCTTGGCATTGGCAATGGCGGCGGCCAGGTTTGACGGGCCGCCGCTGTTGCCGCCCAATGGCATGGTCGGCATTGGTGGCGCCGGAGGTATGTTGCTCGCCTGTCCGCCACCATTGCTCACCATTCGAGGTGGCCCACCACCACCACCCCCATTGCCACCACTACCGTTAAGCAATCCTGGTGGAGGAGGAGGTGGCGGAGGAGGCGGTGCTCCCGTTGGACCTGCCGGCGCCACTCCTCCATTCATCATACCATTGTTGGGGACCATGTTCGGCGCCATCATCGGCTGTCCATTGTTGGTGGGCATTGGCGGGGGCGGCGGCGGTGGCGGTGGAATGTTACCTGCAGGCTGTTGAATTTGCTGCTGTTGCTGTTGCTGACTGTTGTTGACATTGGAGACCGAGTTTCGGTGCATGTTCATCATGTTACCGGTGCTCATGTAGGTCGCCTGTGTCTGCAGCATCGCCTGACTGAGCGTCACATTGGTCATGTGCTGAGTCAGTTGCTGCATATTTTGCTGCTGTTGTTGCTGCTGAAGCTGTTGGTGGTGTTGCACTACCTCGGGCGCTATCATCTGCGGCAGCATCTGCGGTGGAGGCTGCTGCATTTGCGGGTTGTGGGAGTTTGCCTGCATGTGCATCGGTGGTGGTCCGCCCCCGTTCTGTTGTTGTTGCTGTTGTTGTTGTGGATCGACCAATCCGTTGATATGGTTATTGTGTGGTTGCATTTGGTTGTTCACGCCACCATTGGGATTGCCATTCCAGCCATTCTGCTGTTGTTGTCTGCCAATCTCGCCGTACTCCTCCGGCGGACCGATGTGACCGTACACTGGCTGCTGGCTATTCTGCTGGGGCGGCGGCTGTTGTTGAATTGACTTAGTAGTGCCGTAGGTGTTTTGATTCAGCAGGTCGATCACCTTCATCATCGTGTGGGCGAAAGCGTCGGCCTCCTCTTTGCTGCTGAAGTTCAGCCCAAAAACGGTTCGATTTTCGCGCCACTGGTGAAAGATCGGCGTCGCCTGGTTGTATTTGAGATTCTTCAGTATAGCACAGTTTATGACAACCTAATTATGGAAGATGAAAAGAGGCAATGAATACAATGCACAATGAATACCAATAAGTGACAATGCAGCACAGTGACAACAATAACAGCGAATGAATGAATGAAAGGCTGTTGTTGCGGTAGCAGCTGGCGTCTTCCCGGGTCTGGGAATCCTTACACAAACACACACACTGACAGAGAGCTCTTACCTCATGGTCCTGTAGCTTTCTGCCCACTACTCGGAATGTATTATTCTGAATATGTTGATATATGTGGACGCGGGAGAGACCGCTGGAGGTACCGCTTGGCAGCCACTTCTTGTTGGCATCGTCATACACCATAACAGATGCTCGCGCCGAGGCAATCGAGGACTCCGGGTTGCTAGGCAAGAGGAGGAAAAGTTCGAGTAAGCAACAACGTTTCCTCCATTGCAATCCGGTGAATCCTTACCTCATTATTCCGATGTTGAGTATGTGTTATTGCTCGTGTTTTGAAGTTGTGTTGAGTGAAGCTGTTGCAATGATGTGTGAGTGTGTATGTCAACGATGCAGTGCAATCACTGGAGACCACCAGCTTCCTGGAACATGTTTACAGGGCAGATATTGCCGGCGGAACAAGAGCAGTAATAACCGAAGGGTGGTGTCCGTGTCCGTGTGTGTGTGTTGAGATTCACGTTGGCGAGAATTGGCGAGATGAGCAAGTGAGAATGAATGAGCGCTCTTCTCACGACGAGAGAGCGCGAGCAAAAGAGACAGACAGACAGGCGGCGGCCGCTGCGGCTGCTGCTGTTGTTGTTGGCTGCCTGACTTCTACTTCTGCCGCTTGATAGCAACACAGCCAACACAGAGCTTTATAAAACACACACAGGGCGACAATTTATCAGCTATTAGGAAGTTGCTCTTCAATGGGAGACACTAATTAGGCGACACTAAATGATGGTGGTGGTGGTGTTATGCCGACAGAGTACACAGACAATGCAATTCGATAGTGAAGAACGGGATGAGAGAGAAAGAGAGTAGGGCTCCGATATTCTTTGTGTCCGTCTGCCTGCTGTTCGGCTGTGCTGGTGGTGGGCGATTGATGTGGAGCAGAGTAGACGTTCAGCAGGAGATGGAGGAGCACTGGCTCTAGTAGATCGATGGAGCAGACAATTATTGGTCGCTGGGGAAGACAGAGTAGCGCCAGCAGACTGAAAGTGAAGCTCGAGCTTGGCGGCTGCCGCTGCTGCTGTGGCCACTGCTGCTCCTGAAACGGATATGAAGAAAAAGAAAGAGAAAGAGCCAAAGAGCGACAGAGAGACAAGGAGGAGAGAGAGCGAAATAGGCGAGAAGGAGGAAGAATGCCAAGTGCACAGTGGAGTGAGATCGAAGTGCGGTGATACCGCTTCCACCACCAACACAACAGCAAATGTCTGTTCAGACTGAGTGCTCCACTGTGGCCTGGCTGAATTGGCTGTGAACAGTGTGTGTTCTTGTTGGAGAGACCGAGACAGTGCTTTCCTTTGCTCACTTATGCTGCAGCCGCCGCCGCGAAAAGTTCATTCAGCCTGGCGAGTGTGTGCGGAGGAGTGTGAGCAGGAGGTCTAGGCTCGAAGCGCAGCTCGAGGAGCCTGCTAGATCGAGCTGAAGGGAAGCGACAGTGCACTCAGGCCACAGAATGTAGGGCGCTGTCCGGTCTCTCTCTCTTTGCTATGGTGAGCCACACGCAGACGACCACCACTCACTCTCTCTCTCTCTCTCTCTCTCTCTCTCTCTCTCTCTCTCTCNTCTCTCTCTCTCTCTCTCTCTCTCTCTCTCTCTCTCCTTCATCGGTTCCGAGGTTCAGCAGGCATTTGCTCTTCTCCCGTCGTCCGCGGTGGTAGTGGTCGTTGTGGAAGTGGCCGTGGTAGTCGTGAGAGACCGAATCGCAAGCACACACACACTCACTCACTCACAGAATCGTCGTGGTGATCGTGACCAGCGACGGCAACAGAGACAGTGGCAGCAGCGGCAGAAGCAGCAGCAGCCTTATTCGCCGACTCACGGAGTTCTCGTCGGCCGCATCCCTGTCTTCCTTCTTACTAGCAGCAGAATACGACTGCATCTCTTCTTTCTGGCTGGTGAATCAGAGCAGTTCAGTGAATGAACGGACGACTCACAGACACACTCTGTTTGGTTTCCTTGTAGGCTGCTGCTGCTGCTGCTGGAGATCCGCCAGTGCTGGCCAGTGCTTCTGCCTCGCTCTCCCGTCAGCAGTGTCTAAGTTGTGTGAGTGCACTCTGCCTGCCTGCCACTGACTACTGCTGCTGCTCGGACACAGACGCGGATATTGTAGATTCGGGAAGGCTGTCAGGCAGTGTGGATGCTGATGCTGCCAGTGACCGAGTGATGACCAGTGAAGCGGGTGCGTTGCACTGCGCGCCTAATGGTGGTGGTACTAATGGTCGGGCTTCGATTTGCCTTTTGCGGCCACACACTGGGCGACACACAGTGGACTGATTCGACATTTTCGCCGATAAAGCGAATGCCTGTCAAATGTTGGTGGCGGATTTTAAAATAGGGTAGTGATGATAGGCGGCGGTTTCCCGGCAGTGACAGCGTTTAGTTTCACTTTCACTGTTGACAAGGTTGTCAGTGTAGCTGTCTGGACAAGGACACCACTGCCATTACCACTGATCATCCCTCCCTCGCCACCACCACTACCACCACCATCAAAAGCACTACCAGACCCCACCATCATTCACATTTTTGTTTACAAAACCTAATTAGCGCCAGCAGCTGCAGTCGCTGTCTCTTCATCTCTCTCCTTCTCTCCGGTTCGATGGTAGTGTTTACACTTCCCAGCACCGTCCAAAAGTGAAAAGCCAACTGCACTGGCCACTGCCAGCAACTATGTATGAAACCGAAGCTCTCTGATGTCTTCATTTGAGCTGGAAACTGCCGTTGAAAGCAGAAAAAGAAGGACAGCAACAGAAATGCAGCAGTACAACTGCAGTGTCCCACTGCTACACAGGATTTGCCTAATGGTCGACGATGAATTGAAAGGCAATCCGTACAGACGATACAGAGACACTACTTGCGTTTCGCTTTCTCTCTCCAGTCTCTGAACTGATTAGCATTTCCTGTGCATGTTTTTGGTATATTAGAGCTACTGTGTGTGCACGTCAGGAGAACTGTGAGGGGACACCAGGGGAGAGTGTGTGTGGTGGTCGCCTACTGAATGACGCTTTGGTTTTTTCTGCTCTCTCACAAAGAAGGGCACTTGTCTTTGATTTGCACTACTATGCCTTGTGTGAGTGTGTTTGCAGTGGCTTGAACTGCTTTCGATTTCGATTGCACCAACGCTTTCCATGTTTCGATGTTTCGGCGTTGGCGGTGGTCGTAATTTTGTGAAGTAGCTCACGACTGACATGGCAACAGACGCTCACTCTCACTGGCACACTCTCCTAATCGTAATCGAGCAGAGGTGCGACTTTTATGATCACTGAAGCAGCTGCTCAGCTGCATCAGAACAGCAGAGAGTTGACCCTTAAGTCCTTCTCAGTCAGCTCGCAGTGTGTACAGTTTGCACTTGGCTTTACTCTCTTTCCCTGACTTTGCTATTAGTATGAACACTGAACACTGTACTTTTGTTTGCCAAGAACAAACAGAACACTGATGCTTACATGCACACCACACACCCTCAGTTCATCATCCTCTTTTTTCCGGAAAAAAGATCAAAGAATGAAAGTAAAAGCAAGAGAATGAGATATTCTCTGTTTGACAAAGGCGAAACAGAGTTTTATGAGTCATTTTTTTTGTTTTTTGAGTTTGAAATAGTCATTGTTCAGAAGTATATTGCTAAGTAGTTGAGACGATTTTCTACAGTATTTTTGCAATATCACTGACCAAGAAGTTAAGGGTTTATACAATTTTAAGCTCAGGTCGAGTTGAAGTGGGTAACTAGTTCAACGATAAACGGATTCGAAACACCCCTTTGTTATCAAAATATTTTTATTATCTAACTTTATAGTTTTCTCAAATACTATCAAAAGTAAACTTCATTTTGAATAGAAGGCATTCATTGTGTTTTATGCGATAATGAAAATGGAGCTTCAACTTTTTTGAATGGAAGTGTGCTTCTCCGTCACTAGATGATGCATCGGTCTCTTCTAAAGTTATAAAATAAAATAAAATCTCGTGACGTTGCGGCAATGGTGTAAACAAAACACGAGTCTCCATCAGATGACCAAGTAGGCAAGAAGACACCTGACCACCGTTTCAATACTGCATCCGCGTGAAATGCTTGACCCTGATGATCATTACCATCAACACATGCAACAACAATCGATATCAAATTGGAGTTGACTTCCTGAACGATCATGATCGAGTTGCTCAACGCCCGGCGAATGATCATCGTCATTGGCGTCCTCATCGCCCTCTGCATCATCATCGTCATCCTCGAGGACACCATCACTGACCACGTTGATAAGCCGACGCCCTATTTGGAGCACCACCGCAAACAACAGCAGCAACAACAGGAAAAACAACAGAATAAGAAGAATAACAACTCTCCAGTCATTAAACTTCCTCCCTCATCTGATGATCATCTCAACAATCAGTCTGATCTTCATGCCAGTATTAGCAGCGGCATTTTCGGAGAGGAGTGCTGGCAGCGTGAGGCGTTCACCATCAAGATGCGATGCACTCCCTGTAAGGCCAAAGAGCGGCATCTGCCCGCCTGCCTCGACACCGGCTACCATGAGCACCTTCACTGTGCCCAATCGGGTGTTGATGTATTTCGCAGCTGTGATACTGTCACTTCATTCTTCTGGGTTTTCCAGTTCTTCATGATCTGCCTTAGCGTCGTCTTTAACTTTTACGTCAAGCGACGTCAGAGCTACCTGAATCGGGTGGTGCTTGATCGCATCGAGAAGCAGATCGCCTCCGGTGTTTGAACTGTGTCAACAGCAGATTTAATTACCTTTTTTCCTGAGCTGCAATTTTATCCAGTCAAGCTTCAGCATCTCATCTGCATCTCTCATCCTTTTAGCACTTAGTCACTAATGATGTAATAAAAAGAGAATACGCCTTAACTTTTGTTGTTATTTATAACTTTTTTGGCTGGACTTTGCCCCCTCGTCTTCGAATTGAAGGCACATCTGGAGGAGTAGCGACTGAATGGCAACATTGAAAAAGTGCACCACTGCACCACTAGCACAGTTTGGCCTTGCAACGAAGCCTTCATCGTTTGCCTTCAGCGAGTTTTCTGTGACTCTAGAGTAGAAAAATCGACAGCTGCAGCCGCAGTTCACCTGCCTAAGAAGAAGAAGACGAAGAAGAAGACTGGTTTGCTGCAGCTTTCACACAAACACACTCACGGAAAAATCCTTGGCTGAAGAAGAAGACGCATATGAGGCAGTGGCGACTAAACTGGCCAGCTAAACTAGAGAAGAAGTACACTAAAAGTGCGAGTCCTCACAAAGGGCTGTGTCAGTGTGCCGTGCGGACTGAGTCAGTGAGAGAGCAGAAAGAAAGGAAGACACTCGACGTACTACTTCTCGAAGACAAACTACCGCCACCATTACTTTACTGCTGTCCACTTTCTGTTGTTGTCTGGACTGAAACAGAAGAAGCAAAGCTTCAGGAACTGTTCACTTTTTACCGTTTTTTTCATTCCGTCTGAAGATGCATCTCTTTGGACCGAACCGTCGTGGATTGCTGTCACTGCTTTGTGTGTACCTGGTCCTCCTCTGCCAGGTGCTCTTTCTGGTGCTCACTGGGCCGACGACAGGCGTTGAAGGCGCCTTCGAGATGGCCTGCATGGACAAGTGTCGGAAGCAGCTGCGCTGTAAAAAGTACCTTGAAGCGGGCACCTCCACGCTAGACTTTGTCTGTGAGAAGCAGTGCAAACGCAAGTGCTACAAAAAGGTTAGTGATTTGTTTGTAAAAATTAAATTGTTCTCAAATTGTCTCACTTTGTTTATCTTACTTTTCAGATCAAAACATAAACTTCTTAAGCATATCGCTGATGATATAATCGGGGATGGTGGACAGCTAAAAACAAGCCTCAGCTACAACTCAATCCAATGTTCAATATATTGTTCCAATCTCTGAAGTATTTTGCCAAACTCTGATTTATATTCACGCTCAAGCAGCGCACAATAAAACGTAGACGACGATTTTCTCTACCACCACCACTCTACGAGAGAGAGGTCTGTCAAATTGGGCTCTGGTGATTCACTGGCGGCAATTGAAATGGAAGTGATCGATTCGTTCTGCGACTGCATCATCACACTAAAGAGAGATTCTACTGATGATGTTGTGAGAGCTCATTCGAGGGATTTGCTGCTGCCTTTCTTTTCTGGCGGCACCTGACCCGCCACCAGGCAGGCCAAAGGACTGACATTTTGTTCCCCACACTACTGTTCCATTTGGAGCACTGTGTTCTCTCAGACCGTGATCAGCGATGCCTGACGCCGGCCACTGCTGCTGCTGCTGCTGCCGCACCAGCCTAAATGAGAATCAAATTGAGCCAACGGTTGCAGCCGCAGGAGCAGCAGCTCAATTGGACCACAAAACTTCCACTACTGCTGTTCATTTGAATTCCACTCGAGTGTTGTTCCCCTACCGCTGCATAGATCACTCCATTATTTTGCATTACTTTTTACAGATAACCAAGCTGATGATGGTTGCAGTTGCAATGCACACCAACAGCAGCAACTTTTACTACCTGCTCGAGAATGCCACTAATTGTGCCCAGAGTAATTGGCCTTATCGAGCACTCTTGCTGCTGCTGATCTCGTGACCCTCGTGCACCACTGTCAATTTTTTGTTGCCTCTGTTTTTATTCAGACCAAATAATGGAAACATCATAAACGGTAACGATTATCGTACTCTGAATACTTGGATCAACGGTAAGGATGAAAGGGCCACAAAGAACAATTTGCTTCCTCTTCTTGTCAGCTTTTTAGTTTGTTTTTGGTAGACAAACGGTGCCTGGTCACGCAACTTTTTTTGCGTTTATATTTTGGCCAGAAAACTCGAACACCTTTTATTCTGAACAGCAGCATTCAAATAAATTCACATCGTTTACCTCCAATATATGCAGCAATATAAAATGTTTGAATTCATAATTTATGTTGTTCAGTTGCATTTCAATTTGAGTTTTTGCACTGCTAATGCTGTTTCTCTGACAGGCTTACATTAATCGTATCGATTCGATTAAAACAGATCCTAGTTTGGTCGCTTTGTGGGTCTATCTAAATGAAACTAAAAGTGGGTAAATTTGGAAAGAAGCAGAATCGATGAGAATGATCACACGCTTCGATGCCTTCTGAGGGTCACTTCTGAGGTCTTCAGCTGCAAGCTTGACCGAAGCGTGAAATCGAACGCCGTTCAATTTCCTTCTTCTGAAATCTGTGACCAGTTTTGCTCATTTGCTTAGCCTAATGACTAACCACCCAATGGCACTACAAACTCATTGCAGCTTCCTCCCACTCACTCTTTTCAGTCTAACAGGCTAATTACAAAGACAGTATAAAAATACTAAATAATTCACCATTTGCACCATTTTGCCTCTGATGTCCACCTCCTGAATAATTGACCATCCGAATCTTTGCCAGCGAGTACACTTTTGTCCCCCTGTGACTGAAGTCGTGGTGTGGTGGCGGTTTCAATTAGTCTAATTGTGGGCATTCCGTTTTAGCTACTCTAGTTACTTCTCTGACCACTTTTGTTGCCGTTTGTTTTCGCTTCCAGGAACACAAGTTCGAGTGTCGTTAGAACGCACACACACATTTCCTTCAAAAAACAGACCATTGTGTCTGTTTCTTATCTTCAGTCTCACACATTGTTTACTCAACAGCTCTACTCTTACTAAGCACTAAGTAAGTGGATGATGCTAATTTATGAAGTTTGTTTCTAAAACAAAGTTGCATCTAAGAGAGGGAGAAAGTCACCAGTGCTACTAAAAACTATTGGAGGCAGCGATTAAGACAATGTTTCCAAGCACCTAATCAGATTAAGGGTGATCAATTACTGAAAGCAAAAAAGAAGAAGAATACAAAGTAAAATAGTAAGAAGATGGCTGAAAACTTTTGGCGATCACACTACGTTCGATCACATGCCATACACACACACACCAGAGAGCTATGGCGTTGGGCGATCGAATCGGCCCTATATACAGGAAAAGTGGTTGTCGAGTGGCTGGTTGAATGTTTGCAGGGCGACTGGCAAGACAGTAGAGGATGCAGGGGAACGACACTGAAGGAGAAGACATGTAATGGGAATCCAATGGCAGCCAGATTGGCTGACTCTGCTGTGATCAGCGATGCATTGCACACACACATACACACACACATCACAGCAGCTGTCATCAGTCATCAGAGCAGGCAATCACAATGTTCTTCTCAGGTAGTACCAACAGCAGCAGCAGCAGCAGCAGCAGCAGTACTCTCACCACCGTCGTCACTGTTCGCCTTTGCCTAAATGCGTGTCTTGGCCGTGTAATTGAAACCGCAGTTGCGCCACCAGTGGTCCTAGTGAACGGCGCTCTTGTCCTGTTCTTGTTGCTGTTGTTCAGTTTCCTCCACTCGATCAGCCAGGCACACACACACACATTCATCCCATCCTCATTCATCACCAGCTAAAGTAAATAATTGTCAAAACACACAAATACACATAGACAGAGGCTGGCACAGACCCAATCCAGCTCTGAACAAGTGCATCATCATGAATATATTGTCATCAGTCTTATTAATTATTGTATGGACACGCACTAAAAGATGAGACTAGCTGATGTAAGAGAGTGAGAGCGCATCCTCAACTTGCAACTGCACAAATGGAAGCTACCTGTCTCGTCTTTTCAGTCTTCTCTTCTTTCTTTCTTCAGTTACCTCCCGCTCTCTCATCACACTAATCGCACCGGGCACTGCGCATCACCATCACCATCATCATCATCATCAGCTAGGTTTAGCTCAACTCAGCACAGCTTTTCAGCGCCAATTTATTATCTGCCGTAATTTGACGTTTATGTTAATATTGATGACAGATGAACTGAAAACAAAAATTTAAGCACAGCTAAGATCAGATCTCTGTTTGCTTGGGTAGTGTGTGAGTGCTCTACTAACGAGATAGGAGATAACCAACTCAGTTTGATGACCACCTAGTCACTCTGTCGACCTTTGAACCAGCGAATAGGTTGGCTTTTCAAGCAGCAGTTGGTATTAATTAAATCGCCCATTAGTACTGTAGCAGTTGAGCTGATGTTGTTGCTGTAATTTTGGGTGAATTTTTCATTTGTCTGCCTTGGGTGCCTTCAAAGTGAAAGAGAGTAGAGATTCAACTTACAAGCAGGCGCTCATCAAGCGAAGTGACAAGTTACAAATGGAGAGACGCCAAATGTTTAGACAGCATTTGGCGTCAAATAAAATAGGAAAATGGTGGCGTTTATTCTGAACACACGGGAACATGAACACTGTATGTTCTCTCTTTCTTTTTAGCCGTTTTCAGCACCATTTTAGTGGCCACCTCAGTGCATACTGGCCAATTAATTACCTCTACCTGTCAGTAGGTCTACTACTCGATTAATCGGTGGTTATTCACCAATTTTTGTCTTTCCTTAGAAGGTGGACGCCACCTTAGGGTTGAAAGAGGCTTCATCGGAAGACAGACGCCACTCGTCAGCAGCCTCATGAGGTTTGTCTGCTGGCAGACTGCCAGGCTGCTTAGCATCACGATTAATCGTTTTAATTAGCACTGAACAATTAGAAAGGCAAACAAACCTGAAGGATGCTGTGTTGCTCTGCTAACTGAAAAAAGACGATAGATGCCTTCTCTGATGATGGCCACCAGCAAGGAATCGATGTGTGTGTGTGTGTGTGTGCTGATGCTAAACGCTCATTAGTTAATGCAAATACTGTCAGTGTTTCTTCTTTCTTTTCTCTTTCTTTCTGCTGTCTTCGCATCTTCTATCTTGGGTCTGGCGATGAGTTATTATTTATTGGCGTGGTGTTTAGCATCAACAAAACCGAACAGACACCACTGCGAATGGTGAACCTTTGTTTGCTTAGTGCACTTGATGCAAAAACATCACAGGTGAGGCACTGCATTTTTACACTGCCGATTCAAAAAGAAGATGCAAAAGTACTACGCTCCACTCGTGCGGTCTCCTTGCTCCTTTGGGTGGCCTTTAGTCGATAAAAAATGGGCTAAGCTTGCAAGAGAGTGAGAGAAAGAGGGGGCAAAAGAGATGCTTCTTCACGAGTTCTTCTCAGTTCCTCTGCCTCTCACGTCCATTGATCAAACTGGGAAGAACAAGAGAAGTAAAGAAAGGTAATTGATGAGTCCTCGTTACACTTCATTCACTGGCATCGCATTACCGATGCTGGTGGCAGACGATGCTGGTGGCGGCCACTGCTTCTGTGGCAGTCAGTGGCTCAAGCCAATGCCATTTCTAAATGAATTTATCGCTTGCTTAAGTGAAATTTAAATGACCAATCCGAAGGATTACATGTTAACGAAGAGACAAAAAGATCAGCAAGTTTAATCGAGCAATGAAAAAGATGAGTCAAATAAATAAATTAAAAGAGGAGAGTACAAAGAGTAGGAGAGTGAACAGAAAGTTCAGTTATGTTCTGGTCAGAACAGATTGCAACAGCCGATTATAATTGTAATATTGGTGAAAAATCTGAAAAAAGTGAAAGAGAAAAAATGATGTGCGCGACTTAGCAGCAACAAAAAGAAAGGTGATTGTAGCAGACTTTTGTGATGTTTTTTCAACTGTCTACAATAAGGATGATGCTTGAATTCGTGATGATGATGGAAAAAGGTGACTCGAAAACAGATGCAAATGATTGCGCGCTCGTGTTCTATTTTGAATTTTTTTCGTTCAATTACCAAGTGCCGGTGAAGATGAGCCCAGTTGTGGAGAACAGTCAGCATTCAGATGATGATGAATCACCGAGAAAAGGAAAATGCAAACAAACAGACAGACATTTTCTAAAGCTTGTCAAGGCTTTTTGGATTCGTTAGCAGCTCCCGTGTCAGTCGCCAGGTCATCTTGGCTGCATTTTCTAGTGCACTGAAAAAAGCATGCAAGCACATTCAAAATCGATTAGCATCTGTGAGCTCATTTGAATGGAAGCATTCCCTTTTCTCTTTCTCTTACTACTCTTACCTGTGCGATTTCCCACGGAAGAGGTCTAGGTTGGGGAGAAAGTAGTGCGGACAGCGTCGACACTGCAGACAGCTGATCAGCTGGAGGAGAATGCCGTTGATTCGGTCGCCCAGTGCCACCTCCTCCCACTCGCCATCCCTCGGGTGCTTCTCACACTCGTACAACAGCAGCGTCTTCATGTGGTACTCGCCGATGGGCGAGCCAGGCAGGTCGAGGTGACGGTCGCGCAGTGTCTTCAGCACCGAGAGACACTTCTTCCGACAGCCGCCCTGCAGCAGGCGGTTCTCTGCCTCGAGGAAGCTCAGCACCCAGGCGTCGCCTTCCATTGAGCTCTGTTTTCCCTGTTTTGCAAATGTACCCAATGTGTTGTCACCCATTTTTTAATCCTTTTTACAAATGTTTACCTGAAGTGAAACACATTCTTTGCTGAGCAGATCAAAACCCTCCGCCTTCACTTCTGCGACCAAATTAGGCGGCGGCCAACTGCAGGTGGCCAGCGGCCAGTGTGAGGCTGATCGAGGCCAAAGGCCACTGCAGCGAAACGCTAGTACAGAGAAAAGGGAAAAGAAAGAAAACGCACCAGAATTACTATTAGGATCGATAGTGCTGGGTTTGAAGGTGGTAAGCCATTCAACTACTAAAACATACTTATACCTGGCGTGATTTGCACGATGTACCGCTCTCGAATGCGCAGCTTCACTTCGCTCGTGTCGGGGATCATCTTCACCATATCACGGTACGCTATCTTATCACACGCTTGTGCTACCTGAGAAAATAAGTGACAAACAAATAATGGGTGTATTGCAGTTAAAAATGGCACAATCTTAAACAGTGCTTACCAGTGTCTGGAAGCGAGAGCGAATTTTTCGCGCACTGAGGTAGCCGCTGGCGGTGATAAACTCTACCCAAAGTGACATCGAGCGTTTGCGGCCGTCTGACAGCTGAATTGAGATTTGGTTAGTTTAGAGAAAAAACCTAAATCGTATGCCTCTCTGTTTACCTTAAGCACAGCACAGCCAGGCAGCGTACCGTCGTCGACAAAGTTGAAGACGCCCATCTGATTGAGGTAAAGGACCACTTCAAACTCATTGGGAGAAATGACCTCAAGGCCCTCAAAGTGACCATTGCACTCGTTTAGACTGGAGATGAAACGAGGCTCTTGCACTTCAACCTCCTTTAAGATGTCCTGCACTATTTTGGTGATTTCGCGAATTGTTTTCGCAATTTGGTTGCGTCTGTTTTCAAAAAAGTATAAAATAAAAAATAAAATTTCGTTTTACGTTTACCATCTGCATTTGCATGTCGATCCAATTAGCTAATTAAAACCAATTACCCAGTGGCAATTTGGTCTGCCCACTGCTGCTGCTGCAGCACTGTCCTGTTCTGGCCACTTGTTCTCTACCTGTTTAGTATTCACAGCGGCAGTTCTCATTCTACTTCTGGTAAACTGGTGGCCATTTCCAAATGAGCGTTCCCCAGTGTGTGATCTACTGCAGACACTCACACACAAACACACACACAAACTGGCACTCATAATCGATGTTGCAGACGTGTGTCAGTGAGATGACTACCAGCAGTTTTCTACCTGGACACTGTCCCTCTTAGCTGCCCTTTTAGCTTAATTAAAATTAGCTACACATTTGCATGAGAGCAGACACCGGACAGGGTGAATGTTTTAGAAGGGAGATCAATTTATCATTATTCTGTCTTGTTAGTGAGCCTAAAAAACAATGTGCCTTTTGCAAAAGAATAAAATAAGGGAAAACCTACCTGTACACGACTCGATCATTGCAGAATTTGTTGATGTGATAAAGCAGTTTGGAGGTGCCCAATTGGGCATCTGGTGGAACGAGCATCTTCTCTGAATGTTTTTGAAGGTTTTTTTATTGCCAAATTAATTTCACTGCACGTGACACAATTTAGCAATTTATAAGTTTTTTATTAGTCTGCTAAACAAGACACAGAAAAAAGGGAAAACAGTAATGGAAAAATTAAGAAGAAACAAACACGACGTTGTTGAAGATGAAGGCGTAGTGATAAGGAGGAGAAAAGTGGAAATCTGAAACGACTAAGGTAGAAATGAAAAAAGAACAGAAGGTGATGCTGGCGGCACTATTAGCGGCACATCATCATCATCACCATCATCACTGATGGACTGCTAATAATGGTGATAGTTGTGGTTTGATGGACACTGAGTCAAGAGAGAGGGAGAGCACAACTGCCAGACAAACAGACTATTGCAATGCGGCGTTGGTAGTCGGCAGGCTCACTTATAGCGTCGACTGGCGCAAAGATACTGGTGGCCAGATGAAAGACAAACAGAAGGAGAGAAAAAGAAGAAAATGACTGGGCACAAAACACAGAGTGAAAGATCCAGCGTCGAGTGGCGTTCGGCGGCAAATGAGTTTGAAAATTCATTCGTTCACGAGAGACAGTGCAGCAAAGTGAAGATGCTCTGTTGGAGGGTAGGCAAGAAAAGGGGAACTGGAGAGACAGTGTGGATAGAAATGAAGAAATTGAAGAAGAAGAGAAAGAAGAAAAAGAAGAAGGCGGCTGCTACCCTTGGGTAGATGCTTCCACTGCTGCAGTCATGCTCGACTTGAGTCGTCGTTTGAGTTTCGGTCTCCGTGTGTGTGAGTGAGTGTGTGGCTGTCTGTCTATTTTTCCAGGGCGGATTGTGTCATTAGCGGAAGAATATAAACGATTCGCCCGTCAAAGAGGAGAGGGAGCAAAGCTCGCAGAGTCACCAGTGCATATGGCTCCTTGAGCAGCAGATGAATGAACCGTCGAATTGCTGAATGAAAAGGGAAGAGAGAAACCAGGGAGCTGCCGCTGGTTCTGCTGGTGGTCGGTGAATTTCGGCGTCGTACTCTCTCTTTCCTTTTGCCGTTGTTCAAATTAGTGGTGCTCTGTCCTCTCTTCTCTCTATCCCGCTCTCGTCTTCCATCGCCCGAATGTGAATGAGAATGCAGACGCTGATGCTGCTGTTGCTGTGACATCGGCAGGGAAAAAGACATCGAGGAGCAGTCATTCATCTGAAGTGTTCTCGCAGAGGAGAGCAGTGCAGCTCTTGAATCGACTAAGCCTACTCTCTCTCGCTCACTCTGCCGCTCTCTCCTCGTCCAGCCTCGGCGTTCAGCGTTCAGCCCCGGCGAGACGGCAAGTGCCACTCGACAGTGGCAGTGGCTCTGCGAAGGCGTGCAGACAGGCGGATCGAAGCAATTACCGCCGCCTTAGGATGCATATTGCCCACTGCTGACGACGGTCGCTCGGCAGTCTTCATTCAGTCGCAGTAGTGGCTAGCTTCGAGTTGGCCACTGTCTCGGACTAGTACAATGGTGATATACCGGTGCGTGATGATGACCAGAAAAGGAAAAACACAGTGATAATTTGAGATTTTTAAAAATATTTTACGCAGATGGAAAAAGCTGGAGCAAAAAGGATCGAAGACATTTTTGCTTGCACTGGTGAAGAGTACGTAAATCAGAGTTGCCTAAACTGAGAGAGGCAAGAGAGAAAGCGAAAGCGACAGAGTCTTAGTCTGAAGAAGGGAGAGAGAGCATAAATAAATCGCAGAGAGACAGTGACGGCAACAATGCCGCTGAAGCAGCCGTTCCTTTCAGCACAGCTCCTAATCCGGCATAATTTATCGGTTATTGGTCTGTTGAGTGCAGTGCTCCACTCTCTCTTTTTCCTTCAGTGCTGTACTGTGTCTGAACTGTGTGTGTAACCCAATCTTATTTTCCAGGCGGCTTTTCATCCTCTCTGGGGCCATCACCAGCACCAGAAAGGGCATTCTGTGATCACTGTTTCTGTTTCTGTTCTCTTGCCATCGCCCTCTCTGCTGTTGTGTTCATTCATTTTTGATCGAAGTGTTGTCAGCGCCATAAACAATCAGCCAGCCAGCACAATCAGCCAGGCAACTAACCAACCAGCTTCCCCAGAAGGCAATTTGTCTGCACCATTTTGTTCTCATTTGCCGTTGCTGGTGCAGTTATCACCATTAGAAATCTGTCGACAGTCTGCAGCAGCAGCAGCAGTCCCTAATCCCTTATGGGATGGACGCTGAAGAGCTTGAAAAGAGGCTTTTGCATTTGCTGTTTTAGCTGATCCAAATCAACAATTATTATTAGTTTTCGGTTTGTTTTACTGCTGACCAGTGGCAGTGGCGGTCGAAAGCTAGAAGATAGCTATCAGTTTGACAGTTTATTAGTCTCGCTCCCTTCAATGAGCACACACCGTGTTACCTGTTGTCGTCGGCTGAAGAGAAGAGAGGGCAGATGTCAGCAAACTGCAGATGAAATTCGTCATCTTCTGTCATCACTGCAGCGCTTATCTACTGCACCAGTCAGCTTACTTTGGCTGAGACGGGCAAAGAATGCTGCTGCTGCATTCATCGACCGCTTCGGTATTAGGTTTCGGTCTGATTATCTCTGCTGCGTCATCTCTCTCTGCAGAGCATCACAACGTGTAGGGTACTCAAACTTTCTTTAAGGCTGCCTCTAGTTTGCAAAACAGTAAGAACAAAAAAACACAAAACAGCAGCTCATTTGTCCGAAATGAAGCACTTCAGTGTGGTGGCCAAATGAGTGGTGGCGCAAATCAGTGAATCGCATCGAGTGAGCAGCACTGGCAGCATTTAGGCCCCTAGGGACCGAGAGTAAACTAGTGCTTGGCTGCAAACCACTACAGGCTTTGCCAGTAGCAGCATAAATAATAACCGTCCGCATCGCTGGCATCGCTGGAGCTGCTCCATCGTACGTCTCATCGGCGCTGCTGGCACTGGTGGCCACAGTGTGCTCATTACCAGCAGTGCCAATTGCTCGATTAGAACGGGGCACCAACAGCAGCAGCACGCACATGCACATAGAGTGAAAAACGAGGGCACACAGAGCACCTCGACATCTCTATTAAGAAGTGATTAAAGAAGCTGCCCTCGATAAGGTCTCCGTGGATTTGAAGCTGCTGTTGCCAGTAAAGAGACAACGTCCAGCACTGGTCAGCAACATTTCAATTGTTGGCTGCTCATTTTGCTGGCATTTCTGTCCACAAGAGAAGGAAGATCAGCAGTAGCCACCGTTGACAGCAGCCATCATTAGCTGCTAGAGTGGAAGTTTGCCAGTAGTTTACTTTGTTTTGTATCAACTTTCCACTTGCCAAACCAGCATTGCATCTTCTTCCACTTTCTCGCACTTCAACAGAAACAGCAGCAGCGTTGGCGTCACTAAATGGCACCGTCAAACAGTTTTCAAAGGAAGGCTATGATCAGGGTCTAAAACTGCAAACCAAAGAAAAGAATAAGGTGTCTGTTTGTTTAGTTGCAGTTGAATGAGCAGGCAAAAGTTTCTCTCCTATTCTGTCTTAAGTGGCAGGTAGTGGTGAAAGGTAGTCAAGCAAATAGTGATGGAAATGTCAAATTAGCAGGTATCGACGAGCAGAGTGTACTTTGAGATGAGTACCGTCGTCTTTGACTATCCTACTTTCTCCACTACCATCCAAATCGATGCTTTTCAAATCACTCAAAAAGGCTGCTCCTTCTTATTGAGTTATATTACTCGCATTTGCACTATTCAGCACTGCAGAGCATCTCATTTTCAGCCAATAAATGCAGCAGCTATCACCGCTTTCTTCCTCCGCTTCTTCGATTTCAGTAGCCAAGTAGTCATAAAAAGCAAGTTGTGGCGGGCGGAAAGCACTTCTTGTGGACCATCTCCAAAGTGGCCATCTATCATTCTCCAGCGCAAGACCGGCGACACCTTGTCTGGGTAGAAGGACGACAACGACGGCGACCGATGACGAACGGACGATCACAGTGAAGACGATATTGGTGCACAGGGTGCACAGGCTGCTGAGGCAGTCTGGACGACGTCGAAGCAGGCCTCAGCGGGACAGCAGCAGCAGATCCTCGAGGCGACAGTCGCCAATCGAAAGCGCAGATAAGCATCAACTGGCGCGAGCGGTCGTAGAAACGGACGACGACCATTCAAGTGCAGCAGTTTGTGGTGACGGTGGTGATGGTCCTTTTGGCCACAGTTTAGCAAGCACTTTGCACTAGGAAATCAATCAGCAACGTAGACAAATTGTGCCACCACCAACAAAAGTACCATTATCACTGGGCGACACCCGACTTTTTCTTACAAAAAGAGAAAAATGGGTTCTCTGTTTAACGGGTAAAATTGTCAAAAAGTAAATGAATTATTGTGTGGAAACGATACACTTTGTTTTACCAGCGGATGTTCCAGCCAATCTTTTTTCAGTTTTATAGTGTTCTTACGAAGAAAGTAGCTTCAGCTGCTCAAGCACTCAACATCTGCCCAACAATGACCTGACAACTGATGACAATGACACTTTCCGCGTTGAGATGTTCTAATGTTTGGTCTCAGTTTCAGTCACCAGAAGAGACTGCAACAGAAGTGATGGCAGTGTCTGTGTGACACTCCAATTATGATAATGTCACCGAGAGAGTGAAAACTCGTTGCAGAGTGCAAGAGAAAGGGAGAGAAAGGCAGTGCTTGCTTAGTACTCCTGTCAACTTGCGCGGAATGTCTTGCTGCCTTTGTCTGAGGGTTCATTTGCAGATCAGACACTGCTCCCCATAAAGTGGCCCTCTTCTAATTCAATTAGACAATATATTCTTTTTAGTTTTTATTCACATTTTATTGTTATTTTTTACCACTTTTAAAGGCTACTTGAAATGTGAAGGAGCTCAATGTTAGCAACAGCAATGATGACGTGAAAAGCTGTAAATTGAGCAGGGCTCCTGATAGTTAGTCTAATTGCACTTGTATGCACTGCAAAGTTTTTTGCTACCTGAGCAATTTTTACAAGAAATAATTATGTGTGGCACTTGTAGTAA